CTGCGGATCCTCGGGTTAATGTAAGAGTTAACCCGGTGCTTGCCTTTCCCAGCGAGGTGTCTTCCTGTCCCGGAGCGGCGTGGCTCTCCAGCTCTGGACCCTTTCCGTCCCCCTGTTGGGTGCTTACCCACACGGTGTGCGATCATCCCGCCACCCTCTCCGTGCTCTCCACCGCTGCCTTGCCCCGGTGTCCAAACCGGGGCATTTGGGTTCAAACCCATCGGCAGCTGTCTCCAAGTTGGCTTATCACGACCTACCTCGATCTCGTGACCGCGGTAACTCCCGACCGCCAAACTCAGGATCCTCTCCTACACGGTGCTAGGGACCGTATATCCGTCGTTGATGGGTGGTTTTTTCGAGGGTTAACTGCACTTGCGGGCCTCGGCCTCCCCCGGGGAGGGGAGGAGGGGGGAGGCGGAGAGATTCATGTGGCAGATGGCGATAACCTAAAGACGATAAACTATCACGATGACGGAAGGGCTACATGAAGCCTGTCATGTACTTCAAACAACCGAACAGGCGGGAAAAAATCTGAGTTGATATCCGTAGTTCGTGTATTTGCACCTGTCTTCGATTCAGTTGTAGTTAACGGGTGACCCCGTCCTCCACGTCTCACCTAGAACATAAAATGTTCGAACAACTCTATCGTCCCTACAAGTATGTATGCCGTTGGTAAGTGGGAGGCGGGATCGTACCGAATCCGCGGGTCTTTGCCATCAAAGTCAGACATGTCATAAATACATATCTTCGTCGACACGCCACCACTAATACATTTTAAGAAGAGGACCGTCCAATACGCACTTGGGGAGGCCTGACGCTGTTTTATTCAGATGAATAAGGGCATACAAGGGCATAGGCTTGCCTCGTTGGGGGGAGGCCCAGGTCGCAGTAGTCTTTACCCACTACTAAGAGCTGGTAGTTCTCTTCGTTGAGATTTAGAGGGTCTCAGAAGAGGGGACAAAAGAGATGTCCCTATATGCTGTCTGGGAAATCGTAGACATACAGGTAGTTTTTTTCTTACGCTATGATTCCATTCTTAATCTGTCCCTGACTCTTATCTATGATAGAGATGGACTAGTTGTGTGAAAACAAAAAAAAAGAAAGAGTGCCGCCGAAGGGGCGAGGGAGACCAAGCCCGAGGGTCTCGGATTCCCAAGCTCCACAGGTGGCGCCAAGAGGGACGCATCCATAGTCGGGTCTCTTGCTGGGCAACCATCAGTAAGATCCTCCGTTCGGATCGTATCTTATTCCTACTTTTGTATGTGGAACAATAATGGTTACAGCAATAAAAAACACCTGTCATCTACATCATCCCCCCGTAATGTTTGTTGTTGTTGTTGTTGTTGTTGTTGTTGTTGACTTCACATTAAACCGTATGCCAGTTGCTAAATGCCAAAATCTAGCAAAGACTCTCAGCCCGTGGTCACGAAAG